CGTTGACAATGGATACACAAATTAAGGATAATTTTTGGCTTCAATATCTCGAAAAGATGAATCTTTCCCATAGCGTAAGCTAACTTACGCAATACGAGAGAACCTCTCGTAAGAAAACTACATTTGTTCAGGCTGTAAAATGTCATGAGGTGCGACTTCTCAACAATGTAATTATATTTATGAATTAATAATCCATTATAATTGTAATTAAAAATGATGTTTTACCTTTTATATTTAAATATGTATAATAATAATTAATATATATATACTGTATATTTTAATAATTAGATTTAATTTAAATAATTTAAATATTTTTTGAGAAAACGTATTCAAGGTGTAAGGAAAATATGTTGTTACTTTTTAATTGAAGGTTACACCACATGAGATGTTTAGAGTTCTTATTATTAGTCAAAATCATTATAAAACCAACATTTTGATTTCATATGATAGCACCATGGATTTTAAACCAGATTTCTAAAGCATTTTTCCTCTTATCAGTCACTGACCTGTATCACATTCTTCCCTGTTTTCTGCAGATTCTACCACTTCAACAAAAAGCGCCGTGTTGTGAACTGCCCCTATGTGGACAATTCGTACAAATGGGCTGGAGGTGGATTTCTGTCCACTGTGAGTGACCTTCTGGTCTTCGGTAACGCTCTGCTCTACAGCTGGCCGAAGCGAAGAACACAGACGGGCTGCTTCCTGGCTTCTTCAGACCACACACAGCCAAAGCCATGTGGGCACCAGTGGACAAAACAGAGGCATCGTGGGACAAAGACGGACTGTACACCCAGGGCTGGCTGGTCGTGGAGAAACAGCAGAAATACGGGCAGTGCCGCAGCCGCAGACATTACGTCTCCCACACAGGGGGCGCTGTGGGGGCGAGTAGCGTCCTGCTGGTGTTGCCCAGAGAGCAGCGCACCAATCAGATGCTGCCCCCTCCACAGGGGGTGGTGGTCATAGATATCCATAATAAAGGCTAGATGTCTCGTACGCGCTGCTGGCCAATGGAGGTCGACGTCCGCACCTGGCGGCCATCTTGTCACAGGCAGCTCACTCACTCGTAACATTGTGTTTTAATGGTGCATGTACTTTTTAAATAACCATAACTTGCTCAATTTTCTACAGATTTTCAAACGGTTTGGTTTGTTATAAACGTCAGAGATGTAGTTATGACACTGCATACTTATGAATAATAAGTGTATAAATAAATAATCATCCAGAATTATAGCCACGTTAATAACGTTTGTATGAAACCAAACCATTTGTAAATCCGTCAAGATTTCAATGAGATAAGAGTATTTGTGTTCGTGCTGATCACTCATCTTACATCAGGCACCACAGAGCCCGCCAGAAAGCTTGCCTGTGACAAGATGGCCGACGGTGATGACGATAGAGACTCCGCCGTAAGACATCTAGCCTTTATTATGGATATCTATGGTGGTGGTGACCATAGACATAATGAATACATAGACACCCTATTGGCCGCTGGAGCGTACGTCAACGACGCCGCCATATTGCGGAGGGCAACTTTCTTATACTTCTCATAACGAGAATTTAGAAAAATACCTTTTTTGTGTGCTGCTTGGGGCTGTACAAATCACCACACAATTGAAAACAGGTCTCGAGGAATTATCTTTCACAAGCAAGAATGAACATTTGTTTCTGGTTGTATTTGGTAATGATATACACTCACCTAAAGAGAGATTGTGAGATTGTGGTTAGGTCTCAGCAGCAGGAGGGACGTAGAGGTCAGTAAGCAAGGCTGAGTTGAGTGGGGGATGGAGGGGGGTGATTTTGGGACGCAAGAGTCACTGTCTTCATGTTTTATCATTTACGCCTGTGTTATGGAAATCATCATTATGAACAGCAGCTACGCTAATTATTTTCCCTTTTTGCTTTTCTGCTGTTATCTCGGGACGCGAGTCTCGAGAAAATGGCGTTCGTCAGCTCCAGTTTGTATCCAGCCTCTCACGGAGACTTCAGATGCTCCAATCACAAAGCCTGTGAATTGACGACTCAACACGGGCGATATGGACTCTCTATGGTGGACGGCACTGATCCTCAACAACTCGTCTTAATTGATTAAGTGTGCGTGATTACTTGGACTTCCAAAAGATGGAAATGGATAAATACTCTAAATGTTCCGATCCAATCTGACTTGTAATGCTGCCCAAATCATGCACTGTTCCTTCGTTGGCCAGAGGAGAACTGGCCCCCCGACTGAGTCTGGTTTCTCCCAAGGTTTTTTTTCTCCATTCTGTCACCTGATGGAGTTTTGGTTCCTTGCCACTGTTGCCTTGGCTTTTGGCTTGCTTAGTTGGGGACATTTAATATTCAATAATATTATTGATCTGCCTTACTTAAGGTGGACGTTGACGCAATTTTCTTTTAGAAACAAACTTTGTTATATTGTTTTCATGTTATCACTGTGAAGCGCTTTGATACAATCTGTATTGTAAAAAGCGCTATATAAATAAAGGTGACTTGACTTGACTTGACCTAAATGATTATTAGGAACACCTGTTAAATTTCTCATTAATGCAATTATCTAATCAACCAATCACATGGCAGTTGCTTCAATGCATTTAGGGGTGTGGTCCTGGTCAAGACAATCTCCTGAACTCCAAACTGAATGTCAGAATGGAAAAAAAAAGGTGATTTAAGCAATTTTGAGCGTGGCATGGTTGTTGGTGCCAGACGGGCCGGTCTGAGTATTTCACAATCTGCTCAGTTACTGGGATTTTCACGCACAACTATTTCTAGGGTTTACAAAGAATGGTGTAAAAAGGGAAAAACATCCAGTATGCGGCAGTCCTGTGGGCGAAAATGCCTTGTTGATGCTAGAGGTCAGAGGAGAATGGGCCGACTGATTCAAGCTGATAGAAGAGCAACTTTGACTGAAATAACCACTCGTTACAACCGAGGTATGCAGCAAAGCATCTGTGAAGCCACAACACGCACAACCTTTAGGTGGATTGGCTACAACAGCAGAAGACCCCACCGGGTACCACTCATCTCCACTACAAATAGGAAAAAGAGGCTACAATTTGCAAGAGCTCACCAAAATTGGACAGTTGAAGACTGGAAAAATGTTGCCTGGTCTGATGAGTCTCGATTTCTGTTGAGACATTCAGATGGTAGAGTCAGAATTTGGCGTAAACAGAATGAGAACATGGATCCATCATGCCTTGTTACCACTGTACAGGCTGGTGGTGGTGGTGTAATGGTGTGGGGGATGTTTTCCTGGCACACTTTAGGCCCCTTAGTGCCAATTGGGCATCGTTTAAATGCCACGGCCTACCTGAGCATTGTTTCTGACCATGTCCATCCCTTTATGGCCACCATGTACCCATCCTCTGATGGCTACTTCCAGCAGGATAATGCACCATGTCACAAAGCTCGAATCATTTCAAATTGGTTTCTTGAACATGACAATGAGTTCACTGTACTAAAATGGCCCCCACAGTCACCAGATCTCAACCCAATAGAGCATCTTTGGGATGTGGTGGAACGGGAGCTTCGTGCCCTGGATGTGCATCCCACAAATCTCCATCAACTGCAAGATGCTATCCTACCAACATGGGCCAACATTTCTAAAGAATGCTTTCAGCACCTTGTTGAATCAATGCGACGTAGAATTAAGGCAGTTCTGAAGGCGAAAGGGGGTAAAACACAGTATTAGTATGGTGTTCCTAATAATCCTTTAGGTGAGTGTAATTAGTAATAGTAACGTTCAGAGGAGAAAAGCCGCGAAATTTAAAAATACTACTGTTATTGTGTCACGAAATGTAGTTTTAATAGTTTTTCAGTCGACAAGTTGTTTAAAGCTCAAATCTGTGGTTTATTTATAAAGATAGCGCCTATTTAAAAATTTGATCTGACGTTTTCGGAGTGAGATCCAGGCATTCACCGGGCGCTCATGTACCCCGCCTGGAACAGCCTTACCTTGCCAAGTACTTCTAACGTTTGCCGCTGGTTCTGATGTCTCTAGTCTAGTGGTTAAACATGAGATAGGCCTATAATTCATCTTGTGTATATCTAACGGGCGATCTTTGGTCTCACAAAAAGAGACAGGGTTGTGACATTTTATTTTATAATAGCCTATGAGGGAATATTTTAAAATATATAAATTATTTTACATAATATACATTCTCTTCACTGTATAGGCCTATATAAAATAAAATGACACAAATCTTTTTGTTAAATGTCACTGTCAGTTTAATGATCAATATCATATAATGTTTCATATTTTTTCATATTGTCTAAATTATTCTGCAATTGATATATTACATTGTATTTGCTGTTCTTATTATTATTGTAATATTATACCACTTGCAATTATCAATCTATTATAGCTATGCTGTTAAATGATTGTACTATTCATAGTCACCATTTAACTTATTATTTTTTATTGTCTATATACTGTAATTGATATTTCTTATTCCATTGCTATTATTATAGTATTATACATAAACTATATGCTATTAGCAATATTTGTATTATTATATTATGTACTTATGATATTATATAATTATACTTTTCATTCAGCTCAAATCTGTGGTTTATTTATAAAGATAGCGCCTATTTAAAAATTTGATCTGACGTTTTCGGAGTGAGAAACTGTTTCACAACTGTTTCCAACATTGATAATAAATCACCATATCAGAATGATTTCTGGAGGATCATGATGCGACACTGAAGTAATGATGCTATAAATTCAGCTTTGCATCACATAAATAAATTATATTTTAAAGTATATTCTCATAGAAAACCATTATTTTAAATTGTAATAATATTTCACAATATTACTGTTTATATATATATATATATATATATATATATATATATATATATATACAATTCCCAATCTTCCAGTTATATTAGTGCTTTTGATTCTTACAATTTTATTCTCAATAAAGAGAGACCCAATAAACAAAACGATGCTGTATCGCTGCGTTTGATTGGTTGATCTTGGCTTGACGTCAGATCCTGTGAATGCGGGCCAATGGCGGCACAGGAAGCGACCACAGAGAGCGTTGTTCGACTGTAATGAATACGCTCTCATTCATATTTTCTCTCATCAGGGAGATTTTTGTTTTATGTCCATTTACTTCTTGCAGGGATAATCGCTATCCCGCAACCCGGATAATAAGGGATCGACTCCGACGCGGAAACAGCGGTTAAGCGTCGTTATGTATCGCGGTTCTAGGCCGCACAGAGGCGGCTATCATCCTCCGCCGTCTCGCGGTTTCGGGCCTCGTCCCGGACCAGGCCATCCTTCAGACCGGGGACACCAAGCTCCTCCGGACCCGTACCGGCGCTCTTCCCCGCGGAGGAGATACTCCCCTGGAGCAAGAGATCCGCCCGATGAATATAGAGGAGCGCGGCCACAAAGAGGCTATGGGGTATGGATAGAAACTAAACACTGCAGTAATGTAACTTACTGTGGTAGCTGCTAGTGCCTTGTTTTACACTAAAAAGTGGCCGTTTTTCTACCATGTTTTTCGGATGTACATCATGTAAACAGCATGTGAAAATGGATATAAAGTACTACTGTAGTGCCCTCTAATTCCGTTACATACTTGTTGTGTACCAATAAAAAACGACGTTGGTGCCATGCGTTTATAGACCGAAAGCAATGATGATATTCTTTGAAGTGTCATATAATAAACATTACGGTATTATTATGCCACCATGATATTGACATCTGATATTAGTAGCGTACCATGGTAAAACTGTGCATGTGTGCCTTGCAGTCAGAGCCTACCATTTATTTAATAATTATGTCCAGTAAAGTGAAAAGTCCAGAATTATTTTGGTTTTGTTTATTTGATTTATTCCATGTATGAGTTAGGCATGTTATCTTTTTCCTAAACAGAGGTACAGTCCATCTCCTCCTCGTGGTGGTCTCCCCGCTGACCACAGTCTGGTCATAACTGTGGGCAATGAGCTGAACCATCCATCAGGCTATAAAGGGGCAGATACTCCTTATGTCCGGTAAGACATGATGCAACCTAGTGATAGAACTATATGTTGACTGCTAAGGGTGGAAAACACTACATGCACTAAAATCCTAAATCGATTTTAAAACACTTGATCCATGTCAAATCAACCAAATTTCGAAAACTTCCCCAGCTCAAATTGGGATTACATGGATAGGATTTCAGCAATAATAAATTTTAATAACACAAGGCCTACAGTATCAACCTCAGAAGAGTATGCGTATTTATCTCTGTTGTGCTCAGGTCGTCAGACAGTCAGAATGACTGTAGGCCTATATAAGTCAATGTTTAATTATTTTTGTATTGGCATTTAAAGAGATTTAATTTACAGCTAATTTAAATATAGATGCATTTTATTTATAATGAATTTTTTTAGCACTTGGGTATGGCTGCCTGTGCGGCACAAACTCCCGTGGCTTACTTTTTTTTTTCTTTTTTTTTGTGGAGAGCGAGCGCTGTGTCTATAATGAGCTGGGTTTTGTCACCCTGTGCTCACCTGGAATGTTAAGTCCCACTGTGGGTGCAGTTTGTAGCATGTTATCCACCACTGCATCATCCCGAAGGACCTCCATGCACCTTCCCAGCAGTTCGGCACACTCAAACACTGGCTTTGGTAAGCTGCAAACTCCAGGTCACGACGCGCACGGCTCGAGTATTGCTTCACAACAGAGGAGGTCAGAGTGAAAATCCAAGTTGTTGTCCACATACTGCAGCGTCAATGCGAACTATTTGAGGCACGGGATGCAATCTCGTGTTGAATAGCGCAGGCATGCTGTTGAATGACTTCATTCTGGATTGTGTCCGAGGGCCAGTTATCTCTCCTGAATCCACTGTCTCTCTCTTGGGTGGTTGTAGGGTACATTCAAGCATCAGTTCCTACAAAATGCTATCACGGGTGCTGTCACCCCGAAAAGAAACCCCCTTCTTTCTGACAAATGACACTTACCTGAACATTAGCTTCAAATCATGCCTTGCTGTGTCTTGAGTTTGGCAGGCGTCAGATAATTTTTTTTTTTAGAATGGCATAAAACATGCTTGTCTGAGTGCCATAAATATTGTTTTTCTCCATTTCTGTCACTTAAAAAGTATTATATATCTCCGTATGATTTTAGATTCTGGTTCTTAAACTTTTCTTTTGAAATCTTAATTTTAAACAAGTATAAGCTGTATGAAAAGTTACCTATATTTGTTTTTTTGACCATTAAAAATGGTCAAATTTAACAATTTGAACATGGAGTTGCATTGGGATCCCCATATCTATGGTCTTAAACCATATAGGACCTTAAAAATGAAGATTCCAAAAGAAAAGTTTATTAAATGAGAATCTACTAGAAGGATATAAAGATATCTTTAAGACTTTGAGTTACAGTCATGCAAACTTTAGGATAAGAATATTAATCTGTTATTTAAAGAATATTAAATCTGGGCATTGTACACTAAATGACACTAAAAGGATCACTTACTAAAGTACTTTCTCGTCATTCTGAACACACACAACTCGCACAGAAACATGCAGTGACAAATGTAAACAATATGTATTCTAACATCAGCTCAAAATACCAAAACAAGTTTGATTTCCTCCAACTGAATGGAATCGTAGTCTGAAGCTAGAAAAAAATCTGTGGTCTTCATTCTCTATGCAATCAAGTCAGGCTGGCCATTATCTGCACAGCAAATAGGTTAAACAAAAAACCTGGGCAAAAGTCATGTAGTGTATTCCAACCTTTCTTTGCCCGTTTTGAGAATGAAAACTGTCAATTAATAGCCTGGTTAAAACCAAACCATTCTCAGTTGTAACTCTGGCAAAGCGTCATAGACAAATCATTTCCAGAGGGGCGTCACCAACGGACGTCGCGGATAGACCTAAACCCAATCAGAGCGATGAAGGAGATGACGTATGCAGAGCGGCGGAGACACATCTCCGAGTGTTGTTCTTTGCTCGGTTTTTACCAAAAAGGAAACGTTCAAATCGCTTAAAACAGACGCGATAGCTGATTCGAACGAGTGATGTTCGACGGCGGCTTCCATCTTTGTAATGTAGGCTACAAAATCATGTTCAAAATCCCAGCGCTGTCGTCATCGTGTAAAGCCCGCCCCAACGTTTCTGATTGGTGCCGCGATTTCGGCGGATTGGAAATGGGCTTGAATGAGCTCTTTGCCAGACTAACTTTCAGAGCAAATCTAAAATTGCCGGAAGTTGACTGGGTTTTCCCAGGCTAGTCAATTAATAGAAGTGTTTGAAAATCTTCCAACAGTCTTTTCAATGGATATTGCCCATTTTGTGTTGTCATATTTGTAAATAATATTTTAAGATTGTAATTTCAGCAGGGTTTTCTCCCCTTAGTTAGCAATTTACTTGTATGTTGTATTTAGAACACTACTCTCTACCAAGTATTGGCATCGCCATCGGGCTTACACATTTTTTGATGCAAGTCTTTTTGTTCACATCATGCTAGAATGTGATGGAGGTGTAAATCCATTTGGTCTTTAAAAAAAATAAATACAACAATGCAACAAATTGAATTTCAGAAACAACTGGCCTTCCTGGCTATTTCAAAAGATAGAAAAATGTTCTCAAATTTTGCTTACACGGAGCAGCACTTGCTCAAACTCTTATTTTTCCTCTACATCCTATTCAAAGTCAGTAGTATAGGTAGCATTCTGCAGGAAAGTGGATCTTGAGAGCCAGAGTTGCCCACCCCTGCCTTAGGGATAAGTGGTTTTACAATATTTAATACCACAGCGCTTGAAGCAATCATGTGTAATTATGGAAATATGATTGTTTACTTGAGCCCAAAGACTCAGTAGACATGAAATTGTTTGCTTTGTACTTGAGTTGCATTTTTATGATGTGATGATTTCTGTTGACAGAGATTATGCTGCTGGAGATTCACACTATAATAAGCCCTATTACTCTCCACGGAGGTCAAGCCATGATGGACACAGCGATAGGGGTTCGAGGAGGCGCAGTGTTAGTCGCGGCAGGAGCAGGGGCAGGAGTCGCAGTCCTGGCTACGCGCGCAGCAAAAGTCGACCGCGCAGCCGGAGTCGGAGCTACAGTCGCGGCAGGAGTCCCGAACGAGCGAAGAGCCGTGCGCGTAGCAAGAGCAGAACCCGTGCGAGGAGCTACAGTAGAAGCAGAAGCCGAAGCGGAAGTCGTGGTCGTGATAAGAGTAGGGCCAGGAGCAGGGCAAGGAGCAAGAGCCGGCCTCGAAGCCGCAGCCGAGAAAGGAGTCGAAGCAGGGCGAGAAGCAGAGCAAGGAGTCACGCTAGGAGCCGCAGTGTCAGTCGCAGTGGCAGCAGTAGCAGCAGCGGCTCCAGCAGGAGTCGTCACAGCAGCGCCAACAAGAGAGTCAAGTCAGGTAATTTTAGGCAGCAAGAGGAGGACTTTACTGAGCTTGAGAAGGCTCGGAGACGCAAGGAAATTCAGGATATGCTTGTGAAGCCGGCAAAGTCAATTTTGAAGAAAAGAATGGATTCCTCCGAGACTGATTCTCCCATGCTAGTGCAGGTAACTACCTCTCACTATGTCTTGGGAAATTAATTTTTGACATTGAAAATGTACAGGTCACATTTAAATCAAAAGCTATTATTGTTTAATATTAATTCTTCACATCAGGTATTGCAGTCTCAATGTAAGATACTTAAGCCAGAAACATACTTTACACGAGACGTGCATGATTTGAAAGCTTAAGTATTAGGGATTAACTGATATGTAAATTCTGGACGCTAATGATAGTTGTTTAATAATTTATTGATGATAAAATGAATCTAAATAAAGTAAAAAAAATACAATAAAAAAACTAAAAGAAGTCATTTTAAATGCTACAAGTGAATCATGGGGTCACGACATTAACAATGCAGAATGAAAAATGGACATTCATTGGAGATTAGTGCTGGATGATTAATCATATCGCAATCGTAATCGCGATGTCAAGCCTATGCGATTAAATGGCGCAAAATACTGCGATTTTATATGAAATAAACAAATTAGAGCTGTTAACGCAGCATCTGTTATTTTTTGTCATCCTTTGGCTAGTGTTACATGATCCCGCTCTTATTCATGCGAATGCTTTTAACTATTAAGCGAGACAAGTCAAAAGAGAGCGCGCTGCCTGTGAATGTCCTGACTGAAAGACGCGCGCCAGTATCATGCGCATGCACAGACCGCGCGCCAGAATACAGTTCTCTTTCCGCTTGAAGTGAACGAACAATAACACACACAATTATGCCAAAATATCATTTGTCGAGTGTCTTCATAACATAAGAGCAGTCTTATGATGGTCGTAAAGAGTTGTGAGAGAAAAAGGCGCGTGTGTCAGCAACTCTTAAAGGGCCAGCATCCAATAATGCTTTCTGTCAGTAAAGTTAATCAAAGAACAAAGGGAACAGAGAAAAGCACTCATTGCTCTTGACCAAAGAACTTGTGTAGCTTTAAATATGATTTTAGTCCATATAATTTATAATTTATGCAGCGCAGACTGTTTGATCTTTATTCAATTTCTGTATATGTCCTACCTGTTAGACAGGAAGAGCACAGGTAAATAAATATGACATTTATTATGGGTTTATGTGAGGATTTTTTGAAGTTCACTTAAATTAAAATTAATTTTTTAACCAGACATCAATGGCTTATTGATCATTATAGGTGTTATCAATCATTTAGTAGTTGTTGCTAGTTTGAGTTGAGAAATACACATTTCAGAATTATCACTAATCTGTGTGTGCATTTTGCTTTAGAAGTTTGGTGAAATCTGCCCTGCAAATTTGTATTCCATTGAGACACGTGACCAATTGAAGATTGATGTGTCATAACTTGACTTCTTAGATAAATTAAAAGAAAGCAAACTGTAAATCTGCAGGATTGCAGTAAAGCGGAGTACATTGCTAATAATACATCCAAAACATAAAAATAAAATGTTTTTAAAAAAGCCACAGACTGTGGCATGTGTCTGTAGAAAATGTCCGTGTTTCAAAGTCTAGTGCGACTATGGCTTTAGTTGACATTTAAGTTGGCTTTACTCTTTGAAAGTAAAGAAAGATTTAATGATGATGCTTTAACCAATGTATTTCAGAATAGTGATTCTCCTCGAGGAAATCCAGATGGTGGGCTTTCACATGAGGCAGAACAGCTTCTCTGTGCACTTTCCAAAACCATGGATCCAGACTTGTTTGCATCCATGCTGGGGAAAACTTCTGATGGTAATGTTCTTGAAGAGCTGATTGGCAAGCTCCAGTCAGCCGGAGAGGGTGGAAGTGACTTGCTCCTTCCTCACGAGAAAGGGAGACAGAAGGCAGAACTCACAGAGTTGCTTGGAATGATAGCAGTAGCCCATTCTCAGAAAAAGAGTCTTACAGATATTGAAGATGAAGAGAAATTTCTCTATGGAGATGAAGAGGGTGATGAGGTGAAAACTGCTAAGGAGAATCCAGCAGATTCCAGCTTTCCAGACACAAGTTTCCCACAGTCTTGTGATATTCAGAGAAGAGAACATGGCTCTGCGCCTTACACTTATGGCCATGCTGCAGAAAATGTGACGAGCCATTCGCAGAGAGACAGCAGGCATCGTTCCTCGGCCACACCTGAGATGCATCCCAAGGAAGAACCTGAGGACTTCCCACCTGGAGTTGGGCCACAGGATGTCAAGGTGAGGAAGGAGGTAGAGGAGTATGAAAAGATACAAGATTTGCTGAAAACAATTGGCTTTGACCTGGGTGTGGCCGAAATAAGCAAGATGGCCGCCCGGACGCAAGAGCGCCTCCACGGTGCCACCCCTGCAAAGAAGGCACCAGCTGGCCGGCAGTCGGATAGAAAGCACCGGAGCCGTAGTAGGAGTTACAGCAGCAGCAGTGGAAGCAGCAGGAGCTCCAGTCACAGTCGGAGTAGCAGCCGAAGCAGAAGCAGAAGCAGGGAAAGCCGAAGCCGAAGTAGCAGTTTCAATCGCACTTCAAAACAGAGCCGGAAAAAGCAAGTTTCCCCAGAACAAAGATCTCAACGCTCACATAGTCAAAACAAGAAAGAGGCTCAACCTGCCGTCACAGAAAGCAGATGGCCTACGACACCCACTGTGGGTCCTGGGACACAGGCATATCCTTCCCAACCCAGCCTCCCGGCACATCAAGTGCCCCCATACCCACCCCCACGGGGAGTAATGCCACCTGACTTCCCTCCACACGGTTACGATGCATATGGCAATTATGTTCCATATATGCCCCCGGGATGGCCGATGTACCCACCTCCAGGTATGCCAGTACCTCCTCCCAGTCCAATGGATCCCTACAGCCTACCTACCTTTGAGCGACCCTTTCTTAAAGTGATTAAACCTGGGACAAGTGAGAGTAAAAACGACAATAAAAAAGGTTAGTGACCTTCAAAATTTGTCACCTTCATTTATATATAGCGCTTTTAACAATACAGATTGGGCCTCTTCGCAAGGAGTGGCTTGAATGAATAGTTCATAGTAAAATTCAAATTCTGCCATTATGTACTGGCCTTCATGCCATCCCAAACCGTATGCTGATCAGGGAGGACTGTGACCAAATGGTTGCATTTTGTGGGCTTTTTTCTTGCCGGTGCGAGTAAATTAGTGCAACCACCACATTGCCCAACTAATAAGAATAAATCGCCGTCCAAAGCCATGCCTCCTCCAAAACACATGAATGCGCACAGACCAGAAGCAAGACGACCAGAGGCGATGTTATTGGATTACATCATGTGTCATTCACATGTGAGAGAACTTTACAGTATAGGCTAGTGAACAGTACTACAATAACGGACGTAAAAATGAAATTAGATGCAAGCCTTGGTTGTGTAGTTAGCAAAACGTGTCAGTGTGTAATAGTATTTCTTGCATGCCAGGGTTTCCACGAGAGTCTGCTTGGCTCTGAGGATGTCGTAGATTTCTTTTCGTAGATCCTTTTGGCCAGTGCCACTTGTTGTCGGTTCAGAAGGAAAGTTAGGTTGTTGCTGTTTGCCTGCCATTCTTGCTCTGTCTGCACCGCGTACGTGAAACGTGTTGATGACATATGTCTGTGTGAACAGTAGGGCTGCGGCGGTGGCAATGGACCAACCACCGGCGGTGGCACGGTGGTTGGGGGGTGTAAATACATTTTGAAATAAAATAATAAACGAGGCTCAAACATCCATTTCCTAACAGACATGCGTGTTTATTTGAGCACTTCCGTCAATGAAACATAACACTAAAGCCTTACCGCTCTGCGCTTTGAGAGAGTCTGGCTTGAAAACATTCAAGCCACTTTAAACAATTCATGAAAATGAAAAGTGAGGCTGTGAGGGATAGACTTGCCATGTTTCCAATGGCATCTGCTGTAAAAAGCTGTATAAATCTCCTAGATTACTTACAATTTTCCACAGCTTCTATTGTTGGGAGTTTTTTGTCAACTGAAATTTCTTGGAAAGATATTTTTCCAGTGTTTCATGAGCAGAACAATCCAAAAACACATTAAATAGCAGTACAGCGCATTGAAGAGATGCATGTCTGTCCCTCACAGCCTCGCTTTCATTCCCATTAAAAATCAAAGATGGCGCTGCTGTGAATAAGGTCTATAGGGACTGCCCTGCCCAATCATGGCCTGGGCCCAGTGTTAAAGAGGTTAAGGACAGTTGACTGAATTGTTTATCATTTGCATGTGTATTTGCCAATTAAAACATTCAAGCCACTTTAAACAATTCAAACATAAGAACACTCGGAAAAAAACTAAATTCGGTATTCGCGTGACGTTTTCTTTTCGCACACGGAAAACATGCACGCAGAAATCACTCGCTGCTCTTGACTGAGTCATTTTTGTAGCTTTATTAAGGATTCATCCATATTTATTTTATACATTGCAGACTATGCAGTGTTACTTTACATTGAAGTATTATGGGTTAAAAGAAAACAATATTTTATTTCATTTTTTATAGTGGGACCAGTGAAATTTTTTGGCAGGACAAGTAAAAATGTGAACCATTGATCCGGCCGGGCCAGAAGAAAAAAATCCTTAGCATTTTAGCCCTGGTTATGGGAAAAAGCGAAGTGAAAATTCTTCAAAAATGTCTCCTTTTGTGTTGCATAGAAGAAATAAGTCATGGTTTCAGAAGGACATGTTGGTGAGAAAATGATGAGAGATTTTTGGGTGATTTAGACTTAGGACATTACAGTTAAACTAACATGATTTTATCCTTTCAGCACCTTCTAAATCGGATGCTGTGGCCTCTAAAGCGATCACCACTGACATTAAGATGAAAGAAATGGAAGATAAGAATACCGCCAGCGAAAAACAAAAGGTAATTCCCATGAAATTTAAAGGAACTATTGCATTTGTAGGTTTGGGAATCAAATTATTTTTCTTGGACTTCCTTTGATCAGAAGCAAAATTGTTAAATACCTCATGATTCACATCTGTTTTTTGTTTTTTTTGCTGATGAATAAATTTAAGGTCTAAATAAAATTCTTTCTTAGGTCATGGAAGAGCTTGAAAAACTAAAAAAGGAAAAAATAATGCGACACAAGAGAAAAGAAAATCTTTTAAAGGATGTGGAGACATTGAGAAAGCAGCAAGGTATTTCCCTCTAATTGCAAATTGGTAGTGTTTTCTTTATAATATTTAAGGGCTCATTGTATTATACAGTGTTTGTTTTGATCCTTTAGGGGAGCTTCTTCGAAAGAAGCGAAGGGAGAAGGATGGACACAAGGACCCTCTTCTTAAAGAGCTCGGCGAGCTCCAAGAGGATGCGATGGCCCAAATCTCTAAGTTGCGTGCTGAACAAAGAGAGGCAAATCAAAAACACGAAGAGCTGGTCAAAGTGGCACTCATTCTCGGTATAGACTACAAAGACTCGAAGATCTATGGGGACTATGAGCATCAGCCCCCTCAGAGTAAGAAGGATTCAACCAGAAGCCCAGAGAAATCAGGGGCCAAAACCAGCACCTCGTACACTAAGGTAGAGTTGCTAATTCTCTTATAGGAAAGGTACTTGCACTTGATTGGCTTTTTCATAGTCAAGTCTTATGGTGTGTTCAAATCATGTTGGAAAGATCGTATTTACGAGTTGAACGCACATGAACGCCACCACAAAGTCGTAAATACAAGTGGGAACCTTTGGAGTCCCCGGGTCGGTTTTTCGTACCTCGCTTAATACTTTGAGATGATTTGACAAATGCCAGATCTTCTAATCCTGATAACTGATCTCTGGCTAATTTGGTTTTTCAAATGAATTGCGGATTTGATTTAAATATCTGTATTAAGTTGTCTGAGATTACTGCGTGTTCATTAGTAAGGGCAGATATATCGATACTCGAAAGCGTGATCAGCAATGCAGTGATTGGCTGGCGGCAGCAACGTAATGACATCATATTAAAACAGAACATCACACACCTGACGAAAAACTTGCCCAAAAAACTGCATTTTTTACTAAGTTATCTGCATCAAGCCACTCCCATAATAGCCGTCACCGTTAAAATTAATGCACTGTATTGGCTAACTGTACATTATGAGTATGAGATTGAGTAAATCTGCCTGTCTCTACAACATTTATAATATTGTTTGCAAATAAATTTTAATTTTGAATTATTATAATCCCTGGTTCGTAAGGGTACTCTTGTAAGAAAGTAGCAGTGGCTGGGACAGACTTTAAGTATCCCCTCCGCTTAAAGATGCGATCTAATCCTGTTTACATTAAATAAGCCTGTTCCTGAGCAGGTTTGAGTTAATGGACCTGCTGCTATGACAGCAACTCTAGGATGAGCTTCAAAGAACCTAATAATCCTGGATCATGTCAAATTGGCGACAATGAAATCCAGCTAACCGAGTAATCCACGTATAAAGAACAGGCCCCTGGTCTTTACGAGTTGGGGGTGTGTCAGTGAGAAACCAGGTGGATTACCTCAATACAGTTTACAGTAGCTTCTTAAATACATTTAGAACAATAAAGCAAAACACACCTGATACGCATTTTTTGTTCTTTACTTTCTAGAAGTAGAGTTTAAAAACCTTGCTGTATTTTTGTGTAGTTAATTAAGAGAAGGTACACCGCCACCTTCACCAATGAAAGTGACTCGAACACACCATATGTCATAAACATGACTTCCAAACTCGTAAATACAAACTTCCCAGGAGCAGTTGAATGCACCATTAGGCTGCCAATTCAAAAATGATCTCAAGTGGCATTTAATTCTTGACAGTGAATTTTTAAGTCAATCATATTTGCTGTCAGTAAATTTTCCCTCAAGTTGTAGCGCTAAAGAAGTGGTTCCCATCAATGGTCCCAGCACTGCACATTTTTGATGTCTCTTTATACTAATGAGCTGATGAGTTGCATCAGGTGTGTTTGATTAGAGAGACTTGTAAAATGTGCTGTGGTGGGGGTACTCCAGGACCAGGATTGGGAAACACTGCCCAAAAGAAATAATTTAAAAGAAAAAGAAAGTATTTAAAATAATGTTCACATGAGATGAAGGCTCCTGTCATATCAGTAGCCTGTTCAAAGCCGTTTTACTTTGCATAGAGCAGAGGTCTTCAATCCTGCTCCTGGAGGGTCACTGTCCTGCTGAGTTAAGTGCCAACTCTAATCAAACACACCTGAATCAGCTCATCAAGCTCTTCAGGATCTCCTAAAAAAAATAGGAACGCATGTGTGCTGAAGCGGGTTTGAACTAAACTCTGCAGGACAGTGGCCTGATTGAAGACCTCTGACATAGAGGGTCGGCTCATGGGATGGTCATGAGGCCAAAATGTATTTGGTAATTTTTTTCACAGATGCTTTTTAGTCCAGTGGTTCTCAAACTTTTCCCGACAAGTACCTCCTTTGATCAAATTAAACCATCCAAATAGCACATAGTCACTGGGCAAATCTTTTTGAGTGCTAGGTTAAGGACTAGATAATGTCATATTTTGATTAAGATATTTCTGATTAATCATACTGCATGCCTTTACAGATCTGTGGAAGGAACCCGAGAAGTAACATTTAAAAACATGCATACGCCACAATAGTAACTTTTAGAAAGGATTACGATATGCATACACTGACATGTACCATTGGTATCAAAGCTTGCCCTTACTTTTAGCACCTGAATGCTTACTTTGAGAGAAAACAGAACAACATGCTGCCTTTTTATTGCTCTTTATAGCACATAGAATAAAATGTGTTGCCTGAGATTGGTCCACACCACACCAATTTGCATCCCGCCTATGCATTGAGTCCTAGATGCACAAAGCTATGTTTAAATTATATTTGACTATAAATGACTAACAGGATGATGTCGAGGATTTTGTGCGGAAATAATCCTGAGCATCATTGACAAAAATTGTATCTTCTAAAATGTGTGGTCAGTACCACCATTCCCTATACACAAGAGTATGTGCGAGCGTGCACTTAAAAGCTATTTCAATTCCAAGCATATTGATAGCGGCTCCCTGATCTCTGCAAAGTATATAATGGCAAGAGAACGCAAAAGCATTGAAATGTATTTTTTTTTCCTCCCATCTCGTATTTTTTTTCCATTACCATGTCTCTTCAGAGCAGGCATGGGCAAACTCTGTTCTGGAGGGCCGCTTTCCTGCAGAGTTTAGCTCCAAACTTAATCAAACACACCCGAAACAGCTAATCAATGTCTTCAGGATTACTAGAAGGCTACAGTCAGGTGAGTTTGATCAGTGTTGGAGCTAAACTCTGCAGGACAGAGGCCCTCCAGGACCGAGTTTGCCCATCCCTGCTTTAGAGGCTCAGTAGAATGCGTCATTTCCTTTCCGAACATAATATTCGGCTTCGGGCACATCCCTGGTTTAAGCATAGTAACTTTCCAGATTTGTGTACCACCCGAGGTACTTTGTGTATTGCTGGTGGTATCATAGCATACCACAATTTGAAAACCACTGTTTACAGTACAGTACAGTAATTTACCTGGAATCATATCTGCGAGACTTTCTTGTATTTATGTTGCAAACATTTTAGTGTGGGGGAAAATTATCTATTTGTCTTGTTACTTATTTTCTAATGATATTAATTTCTATTGATATTTTGAGGGGTTACTCCAAGGTAGAGAATGTTTTTAACTCCTGCTAAATAATTACACTGGTCTAAAACATAACTCTTTGTAGACTGGAATATTGTAATTCTGACACAGGACATCTACATCTTCTGTAATATAGGAATGCATCAATTTTAGGGATTTTATTCCTATAGCATAGGCTTGTCTACTCATAATTTGCATGTAACCAGTTATAACTACTACTATACTATATAATAGTGATCAGAAATATTGATTTTAAGATTTTTTCCCCCCTTATCTTTGGTTTTCTGCTATAGCAAATATTAATTTATCAAAAATCGAAAGATGTACACTGCAAAAGTGTATTGAAAACTTGAAATTTCTTGTCCTTTTTTTGCATTGGTGCTTTTTTGAATAATTTATATAATATAAAATCCATTTTAATGACTTTTTAAAACCATTTCAAAGTAAATTCAAGTAGTAAACCCATTGGGTGACTTCTCCCCGACTGGAAACAGATGGCCTATTTTGCAAAGGTAAGTGTCCTATGACAAACTTTAATGATTGACAATTAGGATTTGAAGTGTTATATTCATTTCTTTGAAAAGCTTCTGCTCATTCTTTTAAACTTGGGTTCCTCAAGAGTATTTGATTCTTTTTTTTCTTCTTTTTTTTATTGCTTGACTTTTACTTATGCATTTTTTTTGTCCTGCCTAAAATAATTTAGGTACCCTCCTCAAAAGCAAGAGCCTCTCCTGAAAAACCCAAGTCATCTCCTCAGTTAAGCAGCCATTCCCCGGACACTGCTGCTGAGCAGTTTGAGTACTACGATGCGGGAAACCACTGGTGTAAAAACTGCAATGTTACCAGTGGTTCAATGTTTGATTATTTCATGCATTTGCACTGCAAAACCCATAGAAAGGTATGTGTGCTCATATATAAATATGTAATGAGATTTTTTGTTTGTTTGATTGTTAATGGTGTTTATTTCTGCCAGTTGCATCTGCTTCAGTCATCCATTGTTTTGCTCTACTATAGACTCTAGATCCTTATGACAGACCTTGGGCAAAATCAGAGAGTGAAAAGAAACAATCAGCTGGAAAGAGGACTTCAAAGCCAGCCAAAGGTAATGCCTTTTAAGGTGTCATTTGTAGTCATAAAACAGATTCATTACGTTAAAGATAAAGTAATGCATTTGGTTCAACACATGCAACTATAAGGAACTGGACTCATTAAGTGGAATTTGTGGATCAGTGAACCAGAATCGTTAAATTCTTCATGATTCCTTTCCCTAATGAGTGCCATGTTGATTGCAGTGATAGAAACTGTAGTTTTCTTGCAGTGTGCCTCATCATTGGAACAGAGCAAGGGTAAATTATCAGCCATCAAAAATCATTACACACTACTGGTAGATATTTAATTCTTGTTTGTATTCCCTCTTCTAGGCTCTGAGTTCTTGATCCCTGTGAGGGGATTCTTCTGCCAGTTATGTGAAGAGTTTGTTGGTGATCCCATTTGTGCTGAGGCCCATGTCACCTGCCATACTCACAATGAGAGATACAAGGTAACCATCACATATGATATTCATAATAGCTTTGACTAGGGTTGGGATATGAATGCAATTTATTCATTTGTTTGACCAGATGTGATTGCCTCATATGTGTTTGATTTTGTCAACAGGCAAAAATGTATGAAAATCCCCTCTATGAACAAAGGAGGAACCTGGACCGTCAGGCTGGGATAGAGAGCCAAAAGACTTCAGAGCACAAACGAAAACGTGAAGACGACGATCAGGATATGAAGAAATCCAAACACAGCAAAGGAGGAAAAATGTCAAGTAATGAAGTGGAGACGAAACCACAGTACAGCAAGGAAGAGGAGTACAAGAACACCAAAGAGAATGAGAATAAACTTAAGGAGAAATACAAGAAAGAGGAAACCGATAAACTGAAATACAAGGAGGATGATGAGAGATTCAAGATGAAAGAGGAAGAGAGAGTGAAGTATAAAAAAGATGATGATGAACGAAACCGTTACAAGAAAGAAGAGGAATACACAAATAGATACAGGAAGGAAGAAGGGGAGAGATCCAGGTATGAAGGGGACAGATTTAGAAACCGAGATGATGATGAACATGGTCGGTATAGAGAAGAGGACGACAGATATAGATTTAGAAAGGATGATGAGAGGGGCCGATATGGTAAAGAAGAGGAGAAGGCCAAGTATGGCAGAGAAGAGGATAAGAGATACAAATACACTCGGGAGGCCGATGATAAGAAGTCAAAATTTAAAGATGATGACTGGGGGAAGTGGCCGAAGTCAAAGTGGGACGGGGATGAAGAAAGTAACGGCAAGTATGATAAAAAGGAAGATAAAACACTGCAACAGAAGGGCAAGGGTGGTTATTTCAAAGATGACCAGGAGAGCACAGGGAAGTTCAATGTTAAAGATGTCAAAGCAGAGCCAGAGAAAACCAGCGAGCCTCCTAAAGTCTTATGTGGTCCGAGCCCTGCCTTGCTTGCTAAACTTCGCAAGAAAAATGAGGAGGCTGCTGGTCGGCCTGGCTTCGGGAAGTTCGGACGGAAAAAGCCACAGAAGACAGCACTGGAGAAGGAGGCAGAGAGGATGGCGGCACAATTTTTAAAGGAAGATGAAGAGGCGCCAAATGAAAACGCAGAGGCTGAGCTAGATCCTTTTACCAAGTCTATAGCTGCAGCAAAATCCATTGCTATGAAATTGTCAGGAAAGGTTGTGCTTCCCCCCTCTTGTGAATGGCTAGCATACAACGAAAATACAAGTAATCCTAATTTACCGCCTCCCATATCTCCTATGGTTATTAGGAAGTCTTTTACAGGTGTGCAAAATAAACCAACACCACTTGCTGCTTGTGACAAATCTGCTGGTCCTGTAACAGGAACTCCGATGGGCCCAGCGTTGTCAGCAGACCTCATCTCCAAGGCATTTAGTGGAGAAGAGGTGCAATTAAAACACACAAAGCCCTCTGTCAGCCCTGAAGATATCCTCAACGTATCCGTACCACCACTTCCATCTCCAACTGCAGCGCCCAAAGTGGTAAATGCTGCCCAGATGAAACCGGTTACTCCCAGTGAATGTGTTGTCACTCTTGAGTCCGATGTGGCTGCTCCCGGAGTGCCTGAGGAGGAGCAGAAGCTCACCATAATCCTTCGTCCTCCTCCTCAGCTTTCTTCTAATGCCAGAGACCCGTCCCCTAAAATGGTAAAGCCAAAGACCACTCTTGCTGCAGGAAAAGCAAAAGATTTGTATGACATTTTTTACAGTAGTAGCTCTGCTGTTAAAACTTGTGTCAGTGCCAATGTTGGTGACAAACAAGACTCTGGATTTACACCTCCAGACAGTGGCTCCAGCTTTAAAGAGTCCAACAATAAAGACAAAAGCAATAGTGATGTTGCTCAGAGCGAAGAACCCCCCAAGAACAAGGACTCAGACGTTGTCCAGAAAGTGGAATTCCCCATGTACGTGGATTCAAGAATTGCAGAGAGAGAACACCCCAAGAATGAGGACTCAGAAGTTGCCCAGAAAGTGGAATTCCCCATGTACGTGGATTCAAGAATTGCAGAGAGAGAACACCCCAAGAATGAGGACTCAGAAGTTGCCCAGAAAGTGGAATTCCCCATGTACGTGGATTCAAGAATTGCAGAGAGAGAACACCCCAAGAATGAGGACTCAGAAGTTGCCCAGAAAGTGGAATTCCCCATGTACGTGGATTCAAGAATTGCAGAGAGAGAACACCCCAAGAATGAGGACTCAGAAGTTGCCAAGAAAGTGGAATCCCCCATGTACGTGGATTCAAGAATTGCAGAGAGAGAACACCCCAAGAATGAGGACTCAAGAGTTGCCCAAAAAGATAAACCCCCCAAGAACGAGGACTCAGAAGTTTCCCAGAGCAAAGAACCCCCCAACAAGCCCTCAAGAGTTGCCATAAGCGAAGAACCCACCAAGAACGAGGACTCAGAAGTTGCCCAGAAAGTGGAATCCCCAAATTACGTGGATTCAAGAATTGCAGAGAGAGAACACCCCAAGAATGAGGACTCAAGAGTTGCTCAAGAAGATGAGTCAGACAGTGACTCAAGCTGTAAAGAGTCCAACAATAAAGACAAAAGCGCTAGTGATATTGCCCAAAGCGAAGAACCCCCCAAAAATGAGGACTCAGAAGTTACCCAGAGCAAAGAACCCCCCAACAGGCCCTCAAGAGTTGCCCCGAGAGAAGAACCATCTAAGAACGAGGACTCTGAAGTTGCCCAGAAAGTGGAATCCCCCAAGAACATGGATTCAATAATTGTAGAGAGAGAGCATCCCCCCAAAAATGAGGACTCAGAAGTTGCCCAGAGCGAAGAACCCCCCAACAGCTCCTCAAGAGTTGCCCAGAGCGAAGTATCTCCCAAGAGCGAAGACTCGAAGGTTGGACAGAGCGAAGAATCTCCCAACACAGTGGACTCAAAATTTGAACAAGCGTTTGAGGATGCATTCTTAAAACCTGAGATTCAAGAAGACGACAACTCAAAAGAGGAAGATCTTGATCAACAAGTGCTTAAATCTATTGAAATCTCTTTGGGGGACGTAACTGTGATGGACGTTAATAGTGTGGACCCAATACAGATAAATAATGAAGAGGAAAACCCTCTGGAATCTGAGGAACCCATGTCATTCTCCCCCCTTCCTGGTTCTTTTACTGAGCAACTGAACTTGGACACATTTGAATTCAGTTTTGAGCCTTTGTAAAGGACCTTCCAAGAGTAGGTTTAGGGATGTATATGTTACCTCTGAATGTAAATAAGTGATTTTCAAGTATTCTTTGTAATTGCTTGATCCAGTTAGAATGTTTCATGTCTATTCTTAACCTTTTGGCAGGTAATGCCAGTGAAAGCGTGGACTGAAAAGCATTCATTCTGAAGTGGGTGCTGGGGAAGGAATCCCTCTAAGAGAATGAAAACTTACATCAAGTAATGAACCTTAAATATGTGTAAAAGTTTCGCTATCTTGTCAAAAGCAACAGGTGTTGAGCTACATGTTTCCGTATTTTGTTTCCAGCAGAAATCATTCCTTTTTCCCCCAAAGGTAATGTAAAACATAACGAATATGATGTGTATTAAAAATTTCAGACTCTAAATCCATTTCTTCTGTTCGTTCCATTTAAATCAATGAAGATATTTTAATACAGGAGCCACAAAGATCCAGGCTCAGAGAAGAGAAATGGTGTGGAGTTCATGCTTCAAGGACATGCATTCACAACTTTGGCCAGAAAATGTCAAGGCTTGGCCTCCGTAGTTTTATTACCCTGTGCTGTGTATTGATGGCTTTTTCCTTCCGGTTTCAGTTTTGTTTTTTGTTTTTTACAAACAAATGTGTTATTATAATGTTCACATTGCTACCATGATACTTTAGCGTCTACAAATAGTTGGTGTAATTGCACAAGTTTTGTGCTAGCTCAAATAAATCACAGCAACCCTTTCTGTCTTTGCTTCTTATTAATATGCTTATTGCTGCTGTTAGACTTTTGCCTGCTTTTTTTTTTTTTAAACCTTGTGCACACATTGGGCCTCATTCATGAAACTGGAGAGAATGCATGTGTAAATGGTTCATAAAACTATTAATTTTCCACATTGAATTGAACTGTTTGCAGAAAGCCAATCTGCTACTGTTTTATGAATGGAGCACATTGTGCTCTGTATTTAGTTATTTGCATGTGCACCAAATTTAAGTAGATATAAATGCTAGTTTTTATTACAAATTGAACACATATGCTGCAATGCTTTAGTTGAACATGAGATTACTGAACTTGTATTGCTTGTTTATATAATTGTGCAGTGTTTACATACAAATCGTTTTCCAGATATGAGTAAATGCTGAAAGTAATAATTAAACCTGAAGATTAATAAGGTATATCACTGTTGAGAGAGGGATTTTCTAGAGATTTAGGTTGACTTGTTTACATTGTGTTTTAATGACAGTAATATTACAGTTGACATCTGCATCCAGGGAGGAACTATATCAGCAAAAAATGAAGCTGCTGCTTACTACGGAGGTAAGTGTTTTGCCTCGACTGGTTTTGGTCATTTAACGTGCATTAATCAATATAATTCATGTACATTGGGGAAACTTATTATACGGGCTAGAATAGCCTATTTAAAAGGATAGTTCATCCCAAAATGAAAATTCATTTAATCACCATACTACAGATCTGCATCTCTAACTTTTTTTCTGTGTATGCAAAAGGTTTTTTTTGTGTGTTTTTTTTGTTTTGCTTTCTCCATACAATGATTGTCAATGGAGTCCAATATGGAACCCAGCTTTCAAAATATATTTTGTGTTCCGTAAAGGAAAATCATACAGGTTTGGAAAGACTTTTCTTTTGGCTGTGAACTATCTTTTATGTCAACTAGCTATTTATTAACTACCGAATGGATTACGAATAGTAATATTTGGAAAATAAGTTAACAGGTAACACTTGAGTTTTGGACCCCAAAAATAATGAAAATTATGTTTTCTGTGTTTTAAATAAATGCTTGTGAATGAAATCGTGTTTCTGTTTTTTTTTTCTAGTTGTACTCTAAATTGAATGTGTTGTGTTGTCGGAATCGATAGAGAAATAGGATATATCACCAATAGATGGCACTAGTTGCTTCTGTATGGATATTTTGATGGAATCTTTAGAAAAATATGAAGTATTATTTTTAATACATAATATGCATTTTATATATATATATATATATATATATATATATATATATATATACTTATAATGTTTTATATATGAATATAAAAAAGAATGTAGTTTAAATCTAAAAACTGAAACCGTGTCTATAAGCCATTATATAATGGACGAAGATCTGTAACGCTTGTTCTAAGCCAAAGAGTGCGTTTGCGTTATATTTTTTTAGAGAAGACCAAATGATTTAGTGAAGTGAACTATGAGTCTAACCCTGTGTGAATAAGAAAATTCCAGTGGAAACCTCTATGCAGTTAGCGGATTTTAAATGAATAAAACAATAAATAATACCTTTCATATAGCACGGCCTATCTGATGACATAATTATTCTCAAGCTGAATCAGATGACTTCAACTGCATCAAATTTCACAAACAAAAACATTTAAGCGGTTCAGCACTTATGCCCTATATAACCTAAACACCCCCTGGAAGACCCTATTCTGACATGTTCACGGTCAATGTCACCAGCCCTCCCACGATCAATTCCTCTTGTGACAAATGACAATCTGCACCTTTAGATAAGTCGTCAACAACAGCTGTAGTCGCAGCCAGGACCCCGTTCGGGAACCTCAAGACCGTCTGGTTCGAGGAGCGGCCAATAGAAAAATTCCGCTGTGCTGTTGCTAGCTAGTTTCGTGCTTTGTTGACCAATCAGCTTGTTGCTGGTGAAGGGAGGGCGCGTGAGCTGGAGGTAACAGTGTGCGCGAGAGCCCGAGTGCAAGGGAAGCCTTATCACGGAGGCACGGCTAAAGACTACATTTCCAAAATGCCGAATAAAACTAAAAAAGAGAAGGTAAAGTACAGATTACAATCATAACACATGTGTAATTAATGCGTATGAGAATTTGATGTACAACTATTATTCTGCAGCATTTGCTGGCGTTGTTTTTTTGTGAGTGAAGGCCGCGCTAGCCCGCTAAACGGGCGCATTTGTGCCTGCATATCTTAAGTCAAAACATTGACAGTTACATATTCACAAGAATTTTTAAATTACAAGAAAGCGTTTTCTTTAGCTCATCGTGACGTCTATTTAAAATATAAATCATATATGTTTGAGGGAATGCTCTTCGGTTGCTGTTTTACCCGGTGTTTGTTTTACAGATCAGTTTTCCATAGTGAGATTATGATCGTCCGTTAATATGTGAATACAGACGTATTAGTTGACAGATTGCAGCATAAGCTGGACACGCATACATGTCTCCTGCATGAGTCAATGTTTCAGTGGACAGGCTGTGGATGGGCTGTGGGCATCGTTATATAAACGCTCGATATATGAGTGGACAAGTTTGTCACTGTGTATATGATGCTGGACTTGTGTGAACTGAAATCATTTATTATTCCCAGATGGCAGTCAATGTTTTGTTTATGTCATTGCCTGATTCAAAATGTAGTTCAAATTGGGCTTTTTGGGTGTCACCACCTGTCATATCAACCCTGCAGCATGACCTGCCCACGATTTGACTTGCATATTGCAGACCGTCCCCTTTTAGATATAACAAAATGGGCTTTAAGATTGGAAAAAAAAAATCAAGAAGAGCTGCATTTATGACTCATATGTTCATTTATTGGTTCTTTTTGTGGTCGTTACAGGAACCAAGCAAATCTGTAAAAAGCACCACGAAAAACAGTAATGCCGGTGGTGGAAAGGATGCTGGAACTGACAATTCAGAAGAGGTAAAGATGACTATTAAAAACAAATCAGGTCTATAAAAAAACCTATTGCTCATAATGTGTTTGACTGTAGGGCTGCCTAGAGGATGTATTAGCACAAAAACTTGCTTGCTAAGTGTTGTAGCTGGGCTTTTTCACTTTCTCTTGGGCTTTCTCTTTCACTTTTTCTCTAAAATTCAATTTCATTGACTTCTACAAGGCAGTGTACATTTTGTGTAGTAATATGTGAAGTAATCTCTACACTTCCTGTTGATTCTGCTTGTTTTTTTGTTACATACAGACGTTTTTCCAAAAGCACGTTTGACTTGTCACTGGCATAGGTTTGCAGTACACACTGTTATGTTATGCTGAGGATAGGTAAAGGCCTTGCTATCTACCTTGCTTCTAGACATCCCCCATTTCTATTTCTGCTTTATTAACCAGTAAGATTGAAGTGTCTCTTTAAGTGGTGTTTTATTCTTCTATAAAAAACAATACAAGTCCCCTCTTAAAATGAGCAAATGAGCCTAGTCTGTAGGCCTGTATGTATGTTATTAAATCAAATAGCAGTAGCTTAAAATATATTTTTCAGATCAACTTAAGTAAACGGCAAGATACTGTATTGCTTCAACTGAACATTGCACAAAATTTGCACATTCAATCGCTCAAAAAATGCCCCAAATCAGTAGGCTATTTAATCATATTAAAAAAAAATCAATGATATAAATACCGTCTACATTAATGTATCTTCATGATGTTCATAAAAAGAAGTTTATTTCTTCAGGCGACTGATTAGTGTCCTCCACAGTTACCGTTTGAGGCAAATAGACTTGCAAACTCTTTTTACCGTAGAGTTGCCTTTTGATTTTTTTTAAATCATTGTTTCTATGGGATCCGTGTGCTGTCAGACTTGTTTATTAGACCCTAGTGAAGCATTCAGTGTGTTGAAGGAAAGGTTGTTTCATCTTTTATATTTTTTGCATCATTAGTGATTTGCTAGCTAGATAATTACATTTGTATGCATTTAGGTATTGAGTTGTAATCCCTCCCAGTGTGTGGTTGTATTGACATAATAGCTTGTCTCTGTACACCCTGTTAGAACTGAAATATATCACTGTTGTTCAAAGTGATACAGACAGAATCAACTGGCCGAGAGAGTGACGTAGCAGCGGGTGAAGTTTATTGATTTGGTCTATTTTAAGTCAGGCTCAGTCATGCAACCCCTGTGACTGAGGCCAGCTCTGCAATGCTATGGGCAGGCCTCAACATGTGTTTCACAGCGGCAGTCGTTACACACACACACACACATACACATACCGCTTGTTGCTTGGACAGCGAGTGTCGCTTTTTTCTTCATTAAAATCGTTCAATGCATGAAGGATTTTTCCATGAGGGCACACATAGTCGGTTTGGAAACATCACATGCATCTCATTTAACAATTTTCTACAGCTATCTGAACTGCTTCAGCCATGGTGCTAGTAATACATTGTGGTTTAGCATTGATTCTGTGTTCCTATAAATAAGAGATTGTTTTTGACATTTAATCAATGTCCTTCTGATCAAAAGCCGTGTGAACACTGTGTGATTTATTTATTTTTGCCTCAATTTCGCTGCCTGAGACTAATTTTGAGGATTGAATGTAAAATATTTATTTTGTCGTGGGGCAAAATTGGCCGTCTTGAATAGCTTAGTGAGACTGGCGGCCGATTAATTGCCTTTGCAATTAAACTTAGCCTCACATGAAGGTCAGGCAGTGTCAAAAATATTGTTTTAGGCTACGTCTACATTAATCCGGATACATTTGAAAACAACGTTTTTGTTTCCATACTAGGGTTTTAAAGCGTTTTCCAAAAGTTTCTCATCCAAACTGAAACGTCGAAAAATGCTAAATTCACCTCACAGCGCATGCGTAAAAGCTCACTGAGATGATACAGATGTAAAAGACATAATAAAGTTCTCATGCTATTCTTCTGATCATTTTATTTTGCCAAATATCTCGCCATTCACTGATGCAGTCATTAATGTTTGGTCTAAAACTCTGATGGTTTTCCACAGGACAGCAATTGCAAGTTAATTTTCTGTCATCTTTTTCAGGACTACGATATTAAGAGAGTATAAAGTAACACATTTTAGCAACTGTGTGGAAGTGAATAGCACATAACATGCACACTAGCGGCAATCTATAGGTTCAATATGCATCACATGACTAAACATGCGTCATCGTTTTCAAATACTTCAGTTTTCACGGTCCGCGCTACAACACGAAAACAGCGCTTTCGAATTTATCAGCTTGGGAAAGCGTTTTCAAAAAGCTAATTTTTCGCAGGACAAAAACACCATCTCAGTGTGGACGAAAGGCCAGAAGGGAGAGAAAAAGATGCGTTTTCAAAAGAAAACGTATTGGTCTGGACAAGGCCTTAGCTAATATATTTATATCACGTAGTCATTAAAGATGGCTGTTGTCGCACCACAGTCTGCCTTGGCTTTTGCACAAAATCTCACTGGGTTCATATCGTACAGCTTGACAAGCAACATTAGTAAAGGGCAGTCCCACTGTGGTAATACTGTAATTCTCACCTATGGTTTAAATGGTTTCTGTGATGCTCATCTTGCATTGAAGACATATTTATTTGATGGGTAGATCAGGCTACTCATGAATGTTTAATGCAGGCTGAATCTAGAAATGGTAATAAGGAGGTATGTGGGTTAGGTTAGTTGTGGACTTCAACTCCCATGGGTTAGGGAGGCAGATGTGTTGACTGATGTGGTGCGTTGCTTTGTGTTACAACAGTGGTTGCATAGGTGTTATACAATGTTTTGCCATTGGAAAATATTTGTTTATAGTTGTATGTATGTATGTGTATACTTGTCCTGCGAAAAATTAGCTTTTTGAAAACGCTTTCCCAAGCTGATAAATTCGAAAGCGCTGTTTTCGCGTTGTAGTGTGGACCTGAGAATTGATTGTAAATGTGGATAAAAACCACCTTAATTTACTCTAAACATCTATACTAGACATCGTCAGTCAACAGGGGCTCACTGTATATGTCAAAATAAATGTTCATTTTTTGTTTTACATGCTTCATTTATTGTTTTAATGTTATTGCCTAATTAATGTGTCCAATATGAGAAAAGAGAACAATGCCAAGGTTGAATTTGTAATGACTGTGTTTCTGCTCTCATTTCTGTTTTCGCTTTTCCTACTTGCATCCATTTTTTTTTTTACAAAATTAAAAAAAACAAAAAAAAACAAATTAGTTGCTATTCCTTATTACAATTAGGGCGTGAAATTAATTTCTCATAATGGGGAGTGATTTTCACCCTGCTTTTCTCAACTATTCCAGTAAATATAATCAGATGAAGCTCAATATCGTTTGGCAGATACTTTCTAACAATATGGTAAATCAGTTATGACGTATAATACAGATATGGATAAATAAGTTTTAATATGTATATAAAAGTGTAAACAAAACTGTAATTCAAGGCATAGAGGAATACTTGTTGATCTAGTGAAATGGAAAGAGAGATGTAACTTAACAGGTGCACTTTCTTGATGATGAAGTCAGCTGTTTTAAAGACACAATAAATCAAAAGGTTACACTTTATTTTAAGGTGTCATTGTTACAGTGTAATTATATATAAGTCCTGAGTAATATTAATTAACTACATGTACTTACTATAGGGTTAGGGTAGGAATAGGGTTTGGTTGAGGGTTAGTTGCATGCAATTATGCATAATTTACTTTTATAACTATGGTAAGTAATACATATAATTGCCTAAGTCATTTGAAAATGAAAATGACTTGGGCAATTATTTTAGGAGGGTGACAAAATGTAACAAGGACACTGTAAAATAAAGTGTTACCAATCATAATAGAGTTTATACGCTAGTGTACTCATAAAGTCGACGTTCACTTTTAGAAGATGCGCACACATTTAAAATTAAAAGTCTTTCTCTTCCGAGGAAGCAGACCCAAAATATTGATGACTCATCTAGCACTGATGGGTGTATCCAAATGTTTCTCCAATAAAATGCTCTCCAGAATGAGTGTTTCCCCTGCCTCTGACTTAGCAGGATTGCCTTTTTCTTATTTGTTGCATTATTTTGTTTCTCTGATTGTGTTTCCCATGAGAGGGCACTGGAGTCTGACCTTCTGTGACCAGAAGTGGTGAAATTGCATAGAATGGGATAATGTGCCCATTTTGATTCTGAACATTGTGTTTCCCCCCCCCCCCCCCCCAGGCCCAGCAGACAGCCAGCAAGCGTCCGAGCAACAGCACTCCACCTCCCACTCAGCTCAACAAAATTAAGTACTCAGGTGGGCCTCAGATTGTAAAGAAGGAGCGTCGACAGAGTTCATCACGATTCAACCTCAGCAAGAACCGGGAACTGCAGAAGCTTCCCACCATCAAAGGTAGAGACGACTCCAAACAGAACATAGCCCAACACAGTTCTTCTTTCTTTCTTGAAGATTTCTTGGAAATGATCAAATGATCTGTTGTTGTGTACGTATCACAATGAATGGTGCTAATTGTGTTAACTGTTAGAGGGCAGCCTTGCATGACCCGGGAATTATTTTTAAGTCTATTATTGTGCCAGATGGAGCTGTTTTTGAAGTGCGATTTGGATCCTGCAAATTTGGTAATTCATTTTGGAATTTATTTGGAGATCTTTTACTGTTGACGGTTATTTTTTCTCATCTTTAGATCTGAATCTTTCTCTCTTTTATACTCCTGTTCACGTTGTTCTGTCACAGTCTCAGTCAGGAAGAGTCCTTTCTGTCTGGCCACGCAGGGAGTTTAAGCACATGACAACTCGTAGACTGTAATTGGATCAGCAGTGCAAGTGTCTCTCTAAGTAGGACAGTGAAACCTTGCCACAGCTCACAATTTAGAGAGTTACACTCTAATCTTCAATCTAATTAAGCCTGTTACTTGCAGTTCATTTCTTAGAATCTGGTGTGGATTATACCTAAAAAGCTTATGGTTTAATTTATTCAGCACTACGTCGTCAGCTAATGTGATGTTTTCATTATATTAGGTACTGTTTACACCTGAACTTATCTATCTCAGGTGGTCATCTGATCACAAGTGGTCAGCTGAGAGAGAGAGAGTCATTTAAAATCCATTTCAAATGCCTCTTGTGACTGCATACATTATTTACTTTGTCATTGTGTTACTGCATGTTGGTAGTCCAAAAAAGTTGACCGGTTAACGCTTAGAAATGTAGCTGAAAACTTTTGTTGTGAATGAATGACAGGCAGGGCATCATGCTTCCTTTTTTCCCCAATGAGCACATGTGCTCCTAAATTTTACTTAAAAACTTTAGAGGCGCAATGAAAATGTCAAATAATGTAATTTTCTTTAATGAAGGATTGCAAGGAGAGGAGACCAAACTATTTCATTTATTAGAATACAAAAAGTATGTGTGTATATGCACACACACACACACACACACACACACACACACACACACACACACACACACACACACACACACACACACACACACACACACACACTCACACTCACACTCACACTCACTCACTCACTCACCGGCCACTTTATTAGGTATACCTGTTCAACTGCTTGGTAACGCAAATATCTAATCAGCCAATCACATGGGAACTCAATGCATTTAGGAGTGTGTACAATCAGTACGATCTGCTGAAGTGCAAACTGAGCATCAGAATGAGGAAGAAAGGTGATTTAAGTGACTTTGAACATGGTTTGGTTGTTGGAACCAGATGGGCAGGTGTGAGTATTTCAGAAACTGCTGATCTACTGGGATTTTCAGAGAATGGTCTGTAAAAGAGAAAATATCCAGTTCTGTCGGTGAAAATGCCTTGTTGATGCCAGAGGTCAGAGGAGAATGGCCAGACTGGTTCAGCTGATAGAAAGGCAACATTAACTCAAATAACCACTTGTTAAAACCGAGGTCTGCAGAAGAGCATCTCTAAACACACAACATGTCGAACCTTGAATAGATGAGCTACAGCAGCAGAAAACACACTGGTGTCACTCCTGTCAGATAAGAACAGGGAACTTGAGCTACAATTCACACAGACTCTCCAAAATTGGACAATAGAAGATTGGAAAAATGTTGCCTGGCCTGATGAGTCTCGATTTCTGCTGCAACATTCAGATGGTCGGGTCAGAATTTGGCGTTAACAACATGAAACAGGGTCCCCGCGGGTCCTTAAAAAGTCTTAATGTCTTAAATAAAATTTTCGCTTTTTAAGGTCTGAAAATGTCTTAAAATCTGAAATTTCCGATAAGGAGGTCTTAAATTTCACGCACGGACCTTAAATTTCTTGTAGGAGACAACGACACATTACAGACGGTGTTTACGACCGTTCATGCTTAGGGTTGCCAGATTTAAATAATTAAATTCCCAGTCAGAGCTTTTCTGTTAAAATAATATGTTTTCTACCCGGTCTTGTCAATAGTATCTGCCAACCATGCTCGTAACTACACTGCTGAAGAAGCGCGGGTGATCTGAAAACACAGACAAGTAAGCTGGAGTTCAGTGATCTTCATTTGAGATTTTCTACTTACATTAATTAAAGTGTCATTCAGTTGGTCTTTATTCTGTCACAAGCCGCTTGCGCTGTTTGTGCGACTAAATCTGCGATCAATACAGGCTGATATCCAGCAGTGTTTTTAATGTTGATCATATTATTGCATATTATTGCTATTTTGCAACGAAAGCCACGGCAGCACACAGTGGTGATTCGAGAACGAATTGTGAGATTCAATGACCCGTTCATAAATACAGCCACTTGCTTTGTTACCATAGATTGTGTTTGTTACTGAATGAATGAATGACTCGATGACGTATGACTCACTCATAAAGACAGTGACTTACCGCCACCTACTGGTGATTTTAATTTAATGTTTAAAAGTATCAGATAAGTCAGATAATTGGCAGAGGTATTTGTACACCATTGAGGACATATTTATGAATACAAATATTGATTTTAAATAATAAAATACATAAAGTACACATTGTCCCTTTAAACACCACAGCACACCTGAGTATTGTTGCTGATCATTTCTATCTCTTTATAACCACAGTGTACAGTCTTCTAATGGCTACTTCCAGCTGGATAACGCTCATGTTACAAAGCTCAAATCATCTCAAACTGGTTTCTTGAACATGTTCACTTCACTCAAACGGCCTCCACAGTCACCAGATCTCAGTCCACTAGAGCAGCTTTGGGATGTTGAGGAACGGGAGATTCATATGGATGTGCAGCGACAAATATTCAGCAACTGTGTGATGCGATCATGACAATATGGAGCAAAATCTCTGAGGAATGTTTCCAGCACCTTGTTGAATCTGTGCCATGAAGAATTACGGCAGTTGTGAAGGCAAAAGGGGGTCCAACACGGTACTAGCAAAGTGTACCTAATAAAGTGGCCGGTGTGTATGTATGTGTAGTCAACATTTGAAGTGGATCAAGACATGATCGGCTATTGTTGAAAATTCAAGGTTTTGATCCACTTTAAATGTTGACTACTGTATATAACTGCAGGAGATAAAATATGCACTCCTACAACCATCTACTACAATATAATAATATAAACACCAAAGTACTTTGTCATAATTCATCAGTGATGCACACCAGTGGTTTTGAGCCGAGGAAGGCAGTTGACTGTTGTTAGTGCCTAGTGTTTTAATAAATTATGCTCTGTTTTGAGAAGAGTTGCTCTTTACAGTTGTTATTATTACTATAATGTGAAATACCAGTTTGGGTAGAAATGTTTTCTCTTGTGGTAAAAGTAATTACTGCAGTGATTGTTGCAATGTGTTTTAGTTTTGGAGTTGTGCATCTACACGCTACAACAATGGTCTCTTAACCACGCTGTATCTTAAAATACTCTGGGTGTTAAATAATGCGTCATTAGCATTCTTGTGGAGCCTTGACCAATGCACGTATTCACCTTTCTATACGGGGTGCCAAACATATGTTTGCTTCAGAACAATGTCTGTGTGTTTGTTTCTGGCCCAGGCAACACTGATTCTGGTGGTCTGGCACTGTCTCTGGATGTCCACATGGCAAACAAACAGAGGAAGCATGGAGATCTCCCTTTTCCTGTCTTTGTGTGAGAACTAAGCCAAACTAGCTCAGTGTTTATCTAGGAATTCCTTTAAAGAGAGTGATTTTACTTCAGTATCTGCCATGATGCCAGCTTGGATGGCAAAAATCTGTGTGAACCAGTGAAATTTAACGTTTTTCTTAATTTAATTTCATGATGGCAGCAGAAAAAAATATACTGATTTAACACTATGCTACATTTAAAAATAAGTATATTATCCAATTAGACCTGTCTTTTTATCTTTTGTTTTTAATTATGACTATACTCGAAGTACCGGTACTGTTTAGGTTACTAGTGTTTTGAATAGGCATGTAGGCAGAAGTAATATTCATTATGAATTAGAATGAAAGACTTAAAGGTGCTATATGTATTTTTTAGCGGCCTCTATCGGTGATGTTTCAGATTGCAACCAATTTTTACAAGAGCGCTCGTGCTCTTGCGCATGCTCGAACACAAGAGCGAGCACTCATGGTACCGGCCACACTAAGACTTTCAACACACCGGAGAAAGCATCACACAACATGCTGGAAACTCATGTAAACTCCCACTGCAACGTCACAATAATAGGCTACTTTTATCAGCTTGACGTTGAACTAATGCTCCATGCTCGTACCATGATAACGTTACATTTGTGGTGTTATCTAGCATAATGCATTTCACTAACTATTCGTGTATCTTTCACAATCAGCAATGTCAACATAGGTGAATGTATAATATGATAACGAAAACGGTTAGTTAACTAGACTGAACAATTTCAGTGTAACAGTAAGATCGTAGGAAGTAACATTACTGTACCGAACGTGTCTGGAAATGTGTATTATAAACAATATGATAGTTGTGGGATGAGTGACGTTAGTAGATCTAGTACATAAAATAAAAGTTACATCCTAAAGCACCTACTTTTTGTTATCCTGGAACAGTCTTTTGTATTCATTTCATGTCTCATATATGTTGTAGTTTACCTTGCTATTTCATTACAGTTTACCATTATTTCAAATTCAGCATATCTGAAAACTTGTAATTTATCACAATAAAAATAGCGGAGGTCTCTCCATAATTCAAACGCTCTGCCGATGTTGATCCGTGTTTTCGTCCTAAGTCGATCCGATTGACGTTTGGCCTGACGTTTACAATTTTGTTTTGTTTTTTATATTTATGTGGAGTTTGTGTTGGAGTGTGTGTTGTCAGGGTGTCCGCGGGTCCTTAAAAAGTCTTAAAAAGTCTTAAATTAGATTTGAAAAATGTATGGCCTTAAAAAGTCTTAAAAAGTCTTATTTTTACTTATGAAAGGTCTTAAATTTTCGATGGCAAT